GGGCTCTCTCCTCTTCGGCTGCCTCGCGGCTATGACCCTGTTTGCAGTGCCCGATTGGCGCTGGATCGTGAACCCTGGTCCTGCATGGCATCGACGTCCTCCGGCGTTGGCACGAGCCTTTGGCACACGCCATATCATGGCTTCACGTTTCCTGCACGTATGCACATCACAGAAACAGCGCCACGACAAAGGCGGCCGCCCACTGTTCTCGACATCCATCATGAGTATCTTCGCAGCGGGCCAAATCAGGACCCGCAACAAGCTGACACGATCCAAGACAAGCGCAAACACGTACAAGCATGTTATAAGCCTCCCAGATGCTCTGGGGTCTGTTCACGTACCTGTGGCGCGCTGCCTGGCTCACGCAGCGGAGCTCACGGACATCCGTCATCCCCACCCCATCCCCACCCCAACATACCCCAACCAGACCGGTGTTGCCAGCACGTGCAGCTGGAAGAGCAGCGGCCCGCAGACGATCGCCGCCGCCACGGCCTGACCCGCACCGACACCCGCAAAACAGACTCCGAACACACACCTCGCCGCTGGACTCCTGCGTCACTGCAGGCTGCCCAAGGGACAGGAGGTCGACTAAGAAGTCGAGCACATCCTGAGCAGCTGAAACATAATGCGGAGCGCGAGATCTGGCATTCACAAGATGCAGAGAGGCAGGGTCCTGTTCCTTTGCCATCGCAGCTTGGATGGCATCACACTTGCCCTGCTGCATGGCCGCGGCGATCTGCGCCTCGGCTCTGTCCACATGCTGTCCGCACACTCCCTCATCCCAGAAAACCTCCACGGTAACGCGAGCCAGGCCGCCCAAGCGCAATGCAGCCTTTCGGCCAGCTTCGGCAGCAATGTGCTGCTCAAGACCTGCTGCATGGCACGACCAGCACGACAAATTCGAGGAGCGCCAAGCTGCAGCCTCGACGGCTGCACCATGCACCTGGTGTAGGGAGCAGTCGCGCTTGGAGAGCATGTCAAGTGCGTCCCAGTGGCACGAGGGTTCTGTGCTTGCAGGAGGCCTGGCATGCAAACAGGTGCGAAGTACATCGAAAGTTCGCGGCTCGGCTCGGGCAGCTTCAAAC